GGTGTGGCTACAGCTGTCCAAAGTAACCTCCTTGGCTATGCAACTGTATTTCTCTAAAAAACAAAGCTGTCTGCCTATATACAAAGCCCCAGACAGCTTTATTAGACACATTGGATAGAAACATGTCTTTTCTCAATGCCCAGTCTGATTACTGTTTTGGAACATTATGTCACAGTTCTTTAGTTTTTTGGAATCTGTACGTTTTCAGAAATTTATAGATTAGGTCAATGAAAGGATGACAACTAAAACACAGTAACATTGATTCAGTATTAAATAGTAAATGGACACATTGGTCATTTCTATAAGAGGATAAATTAATCAAAGAAAGTAACCAGAAGGGACTTCAATGTAAATATGTAGGCTCAAAAATGACAGTTTTCAGATTTTCATGTAACAAGATATGTCCTTGATTTTAAAATATAATTTTTGGGCTGAGTGCGGTTGCTCACGCCTATAATCCTAGCACTTTGGGAGGCCGAGGCGGGAGGATTGCTTGAGGCCAGGAGTTTGAGACCAGCCCGAGCAAGAGCGAGACCCCCATCTCTACAAAAAATAGAAAAATTAGCCGGGCATGGTGGCACACACCTATAGTCCCAGCTACTCAGAAGACTGAGGCAGGGGCATCACTTGAGCCCAGGAGTTTAAGGTTGCAGTGAGCTATGATGATGCCACTGCACTCTAGCCTGGCCAACAGAGTGAGACCCTGTGTCAAAAACAAAACAAAAGAATATATAATTTCTGTACATTGAATGAGGCTTGTATTATATGGATTCAAACCCTGTATTAAATAGTCTACCTATAATGTTCCGTGTTCTGCAAAAGTTACATTTACAAACATATGTACTTCATTTCTGTTGAATGCCCAAAGCATCTGTGTCAGTTTTTCTTAGAGCGTTTTCTCTAGAATATGGAATTGCTGAATCTCTGAGAACCAAGAATTATTAGATGTGGGATCGTAGGGTTCTGAGAAGTCAGGGGCACCAGAGTTAAGGATTCTATTTAAGAAAGTGGTTTTGGCCTATTGTCTGGAACTGGCCTGTGGATTTTAAGACATTTAGCATCCTTGGCCTCCAGCCACTAGATGCTAATTGTACTTCCCAGTGATTGTGATGACGAAACTGCTGCCCAGTCCTCTTATCCCCACTTCAGATGCTGGGGTGGGGACACTACCTCCTTTTGGAATCACTGGGAAATAAAAGAGTGCTAGGGCCCATATTATTTGAAAGTAAGTTTGTTTGCATATAAACAACTACTAGGACAAGAACAAATAATGGCTTCAACCAGATAGTTTATCTCCCTTTTCTGTATATAAGTCTGGAGATAGACAGGTTAATGTTGGTAGTGGCTGCATTGTCATCAGAGTCTACAGTGATTTTATTTTCTGCTCCATCATTCTCAGGATATTGTTTCCATTCCAAAGGGCACTGAGGAATTATAGTCATTACCTGGAGTTACAGTCATTACCTACATTCCAGGCAACAAGGAGGAGAATGAGGGAAAAGAAAATGGACCTTCTTTCCAGCTGAGTCAGCTTCTTTTAAGTGCTGTGTTCATATTTGCCAACTCTAACTGCAAGGAATGTTGGCATCTTAGCTCAAGCTGCCATAAAAAGTTACCACATACTGTGTATCTTAAACAACTGAAATTTATTTCTCAGAGTTCTGGAGGCTGGGAAATCCACGATCAAGGTGCGGGCCAAGCAGATTTCAGACTGAAGCCTCTTTCCTTGGCTTGCAGGCAGCCACCATCTCCCTGTGTCTCATATGGCCTCTTCTTCATGTGCCTGAGAAGAGAGTGAGCTCTCTGTTGCCTCTTACAAGGACACTAATCCTAGTGGATTAAGGACCCACCTTTCATTACATTCATCTAACTTTAATTATCTCCTTATATACCCTATCTTCAATGCAGTCACATTGGGAGTTAGGGCTTTAACATAGAATTTTGAGATGTTCATAGAATTGGGAAGTGTAGCCTTTTAGCTGGGTGCATTGCAGCTCCAAATAAAGGAGGATCTCATTAGGAAGGATGAAGGGAAGAGTGGATATTGGGTGACAGCTAGTAGTTACTGCCACAGGGGCTCTTGCCTAGGTTTCCCAGGTTGGTAATTGGGAGCTTGGAGTTGGAACCCTATGGAGTGTACATAAAGCATGCAAGAGTGACCTGTTGAAAATTATGCCTAGAAAATTATAAAGGGAAAGATGAGGGATATTTAGGAATTATGTTCTCAAGAAAGTCTATCCCAAGGGGCAGTCAGGGAACTTTTTTTTTAAGACTATAACTATAGGTAAATACTTAACAAATAAGGGCAACTTTACGTCTTTACTGATTTTTACTTTTCACCTATCTTCTCAATGGCTGTGTTTTCTATTGTTCACATTCTTTCCTAGACCTCTTTTGTAGTTCAGGACAGAAATGATTGACTGCCTAAAGTTCAATGGTAAGGTTCAGGTCAGGCTTGCAGATTTAGTCAGCCCAGTGCTGTATTTATGTACAGTCCTCCTTTGAAGCCATCATGGTTGGACTAACTGTTAAAACAATAGCTGTGAAATTGACTCAGTTTTACTGGAAAAATTGCCAGCCCAGTATTAATAATGATTGAATGAACATGCCTTTGTGTTGTCATAACCATGGAAAGTTTTTCCATGGTTTTTACAACTCTTTTTCTGTCTAAATGAAAAACTTAGAACTCTAGGTAGTAATCACATTGTCCTGTTCACCTTTTTCTTTTAACAACTTCACTGAGGTATAATTCACATACTCTGCAATTCACACATTAAAAGTGTACAGTTCAGTTGCTTTTAGTATATTCACAGAGTTGTGTATCTGACACCATATTCAATTTTTGGACATTTTCATTAACTGAAGAAGATACCCCACATCTATTAGTTTTCAACTGGTTCACTTTCAAAAAGAAAAAAAGGACTTTATCCCGAAACCATACAAGAGACTACAGTCAGCTAAACTATTAGCAGAGATATTCTATAATACTAAAATTTGATCTTTAACGTAAAAGAGATAATATTGTAACTTATTATTCTGTGATTTTATATAGTAACATCATTCCTTTCATTTGCATTCTCAAGAATGCTAGTAAGAAGTGTCATATAATGTAATCATAAGAGTGATACTGCATCACCTTTACTGTATTCTGTTGGTTAGAAACAAGTCACAGGTCCCACCGACACTCAAAGAGAGGAGCTTACACAAAAGGGTTAGTGCCAGGAAGGTGGGGATCTTAGGGACCTCTTGGAGCCTGTCTGCTACAGCCCTTAAACTAGTGAATACTTTTTAAATGTTGCTTCCAGTTTACAAGTAATTTTAATTAACTTTTCCCAGCTACCCTCAGCAGTAGGCTGGTGCTGTCTGTTTTACTAGTGATTAAACTGAGCCATTGAGACGGTATTTACTTGCCAGTGATCAGAGAACAGTAATAATTATACTTGGAGCTTCTTTATGTTAGAATGTTTCCTGGCTTAATCTATCTACTTCATGAAAAAGATTACTGGGAAAATTTCTCTATTCTTGCCTAGACCTGATTTCCATCTTAAAAGGTCAGTTCTGGCTTCACTTATACCTAAATGGTCACTTATGCCACTGATTTCTGGGGTTCTTGTGATTCCGGATGCTAGAATGCCAAATAATATGAGTGAAAGGATTTTGAACTGAAAAGCACTGTGTGAATGAAAGCTGATGTTATGAGTTATGATTTGGAAATCTGTTATTTGGAATGTTGGTTTACTAAGTTGTTATCTAGACAGAGTGTATTAATCTTTGAACTGTAACCTTTAATCTTGTTTATTAATATATATGATTATTCTGGGGGAAAGATTTTAAAATTCTAAGTATTTTGAGGACCTTAAAAGTAGCTACAGAGAACAATTTTACTAAATGGAGAAAACATTCCTAGATTTTGGAAGAAGAAAAATGAATGACCAAGTATGTAAACTTTCCTTGTTGATATCATGAGATCAGAGTTTAAAAGAGATTCTGATCATTTAGTATGAAATTGGAAAATGTACTTGATATTCAGTGGAATCTTTCTCTTCATGTATGTTGCACTCTAGGTTGATATAGTTTCATTCCTACACATGGGGGTTTGTGTGTGAGTGAGAAAGAGAGTGAGAGAGAAACTGATTTTACATTTTTCATTGGATTTGCTTTTTTACAAAGCATGGTTAGAAGTTAATACTTTGATCTCCAGGTTGGGATTTTGGAGGTGATTTTTTATGTAATGGAAATATGTAATGAGTGAGCTCTTCTGTCCACTAGTCACTCATTTTTCACACCCCCACCCCTATCTATTGAGCAAGGGCTGAAAGGTTCAGTTTGAATAGCACATGGCTGTTCCTCTCAGAGTCAGCTAGCTATTCACTTAACTCTTCCCACACCTCGGCATGGTATTAACAAGAACAGGACCATATCCTAAGGCATTAGTTCCCAAACATTACTGGAATCACCTGGGGATCTTTAAAAATACTATCTTCTGACTCCCATCTCCAGGTATTCTGATTTAATTGCTATGGGATGATACCCGAGCATTGGGATTCACAGGTGTAGCAAACTTTGGGAATGGCTGTACTAACTAAAGATTGAGGCTCTGGAATAATTAATGTTGGATAAAGATAGGATAAGAACTTTTTGGAAATGAGGCTTGCAGCTCTTGGAATTCTCACTTGATAATACAGTTTTGCAAAATTTGAACAAGATCTTGTATTTGGGAATGAAAACTGATTTGCAGAATTAGTTTCATCAGTAAATGGTAATTTGGTTTTATGAATCCCATTGAAGCTATGTCTACTTACTACCTAAATTTAGGTCTTTCTTAATTTGGTATGTAAGAAAACAAGATGACACATACAAAAAACTCCAAAAACCTGGAGGTCAGACTGTTTTAGTAAATCATGAGTAAAATCTTCCCACACATTAATCAGTGCTAGCTAAAAGAAAAAAGTTAAAACCTCTTTAAAATGTGGAAAAATTGCTTCCCAATATTTTAACAGAGAGAGACTGAGAACACACAGCATTGAGTCATCAGGAAAACTGAAGATCTCCCCTGAACAACACTGGGATTTCACTGCAGAGGACTTGAAAGACCTTGGAGAAATTGGACGAGGAGCTTATGGTTCTGTCAACAAAATGGTCCACAAACCAAGTGGGCAAATAATGGCAGTTAAAGTAGGTGATGCCATGATTATTTTTGGTACTTTAATCCATTAGGTGAAATTTTGTGGTGCAGTAATACCACTATTGTTCTGTTCTTTCTTTTGTGGTAAATGTAGATGTTTGAAAAATTATTTCTTTGACTTCTTTGAAGGTGTTTTGTGTAGAGATTGTCTTATCAGCGGCACATTTTCTATCTCCCTGGGAACACGAGTGTATGAAGTGTGCATGTTCATTGCATTTTTGGCATGATGCATTAATATGTTTTAAACTTCAGGCGCTTCTACTGCCAAGGTGAGTTCAGGCTGGGCGGCTGCACCCCTGGGAGCAGGGCAGTGCTGCACTGAGCCAGGCGGGAGCTGAAAGAAGAGGCAGCACACTGGGTTGGGCAAGGTGCGGGGCTAGGGCTAACAGCAGTCTTACTGAAGGTTTCCTGGAAACCACACACATGCTGTTGCCACTAACCTCAACCTTACTCGGTCCTGACCAGCTGGGCTTCTGTTTGTTTATTTCATCTCTACTCAGTACTGCCCTGTTCCCTGGTTTTAAAGTTGTATTGAAATGCATACCTTGTGATAATGTCACATTCTGTCCTTATTGTGAGTGTCATGCCACTTAATATGTTTATTAAAAAAAAAAAAAAAGACCAGAAATGGTGATTTGGCCAGTAGACATGCAAACTTATGTTGGTTGGTACCTGTGATGAACTGGTGGTTTCCATTTGACCCCAGAGGGTCTGTGTAATCGTAATTTATTCATCTGTTTGTTCGGATGTTTGACAGATATTTGCTCTGTGTAAGATATTTCAGGAAAGTCAGCAGTGAGGGAGGGGAAGACAATTTAAAAAGAAAAAAGCTAGATAATGGCCATACCCTCACTGAACACAAAAAATTCCTACGGGAACAATGTTCTAGTTTAAAGAATTGAAAGTGGATTTGCACACAGTCTAAGCTAATCATTTTCCTGTTAATCTCCTATCTTAAGAGTTGGTCAAAGTGGCTTTATGAGAGAAGGGACCTCAGTTTTTTATTTGACATTTGGGAACAGATTTATATCATTATTATAAAATGCTTTCTGTGTAGACGTCTGTTGTGAGCCGTATCTCACTGTAACTATTGTAGTCTCCATTGTTGAGCATTTCTCTTCCCTGGGCCATATGAAAGTAATGTTAAATTAGTGGTGGGGAAAATTTTTATGATTCTTTCCATAGATTCTGAACCTTGTTTTTGACCATATTTTTACAATGTGGTTAGAACTATAGACTTTTCCTAGGAAGATGTGTACATATGCAAAATTTTGCATACAATCTGTAAACCTCTAAAAACGCACAGGCTAAGACCTGTGCTCTGGATTATATGTTAAGATAAAATACTGTTTTCTTGGAATGTGAAATGATTTCTCTATTCTTACTATGTGCCACTGCAGTATAAGTAGAAAGAGAGTCATTTTATTTAAACTCTCTTGGATGAATGTGTCATTGCCCTTATGTGCTATCTGTGTGTGACATCCGGTTTTAGTCAGCTGGGTCTTAAGGGAATGCTTTCCTATATACCTGAAGTTCTAAACTCTTCTCCCAGGCACTAGGAAAAGTACCTTAAAAAAATTATTTCCTGCTTTTTTCAGTTTGTGCTATGTGTGCTTCAACTATGTTGATCGATATCATAAACCATTTTAGTAATAAGGGTCAACTCTAGTCATGGTTAAAAGGTTTTAAAGGTAAAGAAGTTACTTCATTTTGACATTTAAAAAAGTTTTCTCAGTGATTAATTTGATAATATTTCAAGTTATGTAATGCTTACAGCATTGTTGGGGACCAGGTGATCCGAATCAGGATGTCCAAGCAAATCTAGGGACATAGGAGAAAAGAGTTAGAGTAGATGAAGTATCACAGTTCAGACCCGTGGGCTGACATTGAGTGGAATTACACAGATTGCTAACAGAGAAGAATGACTGTGAGCCTCCAGTGTTTGACAATTTGTCCTCCTCCTAACCCTGCTTGCAGTGTAAATCCTGCATGCTTAGAGTACCAGCTTCCCTTTTGTTTTAGTACAGACTCATGTCCAGATTGACTTCTTGAAATTATGCATGCCCTTTTCATGTTTATAGGCTATGTGAGAAAAAGAGGAGAGTAGAAAAGAAAGAATGAAAATGAGAGGGAACATAAGGCAATGAAGTTGCTCTCATAAAAGATGGCAGGCAGTGTAATCTGGATTGTTATCTGAAGGGTTAATGCTGCAGTAAAGTTGCCATCTTGTGGGAATTAAATAATACTGAGCAGGTAGGTGGGGATAGGATGTCATGTTGATCATTATGACTTTTCAGTTGTTTAAGGTTTAGGTGCTTAGGCCAGACTGAGTTAGTAATGTGGCCTTGTATGTAAGGGTTTCAGGTGTTTTCTCCTTTTGGTGATCTGCCTAACTTGTTCCATTGATCCTCAACTCTACTTTTTCAACTCTTCTGTTGGATTGATTTAAGCGTTCCTGATCCTGGCCTGGTAACCTGATCTTGATTCCTGCATTCTAACTTTCCATGGTATTTTTCTTTTGACTTCAGTGTCCTTGACCTGGAATTGAGACCTAGGTTAACCCTGCTTAGTTGGAAGGACTAGAGCCCTCCACTGACAATATCAGCAGCTTGCAGCTCAGCCCTTCCCTGAGCAGTGTGGGGCTTTCATCTGCTGATTGGGTAGGTCTCCGTGGTGCAGATGGTAAAGCAAGTATGGAAAGTTAGGGGTCAGAAGAGTATGGCTTGGCTTATTTTACCACCACTGTAGGGACCATGCCGGTTCTGTCCAAAGTTCCGTTACTGAATGATTTCTGTGGTGACTAAGATGATGATGGGAGAAGGAGGTTCATTTTAGGGGTTAAACATTGGTCTTGCATATTGTTCTGAAAATGCTAGAATGATACTTGACAGGGATGGCCTTAAATTGAAAACTCCTTTTTGATATTATAGAGTGCTTCGTTAGGCAGTTTTATTCAGTTTTGAAAGGCCACAGTGATCCTATTTGATTATCCAAATCAACTTGTGGGATGCAGAAGTCATGACTATGTTGTTTAAAATTGAGACTGGATTCTAGTATCTTATGTTCCTGTTTGATTGGCCAGATCATGTGACTTACTTAGATATCTGCAGTTGACTTAGTCATATTATTTTATGCTTCCTAATATTGCTTAAAAGCTGTGGTGTTGCACATGAAAAGTGTAAAGTGGAGAACTTGTGGAAATGGGCTGATACCAGGGATGTGGCAGGGCTGCCCTCTAATCAGCCTTGAACTCCGGTCCCTTGCGTAGGTGGGGTTGGAACTCTGTATGCTTCTTTTGTTGTTGGTCCAAGTTAGTGGTTTTCAGACTGTGAGTTCTTTATGTTAACAGAATTTTATGTGGAACCCAATAAAAAATAGACAAAATCAGTATTATTCTGGTTGATGTAGGGAATAGGAAGTAGAGACCCTGTCTACAGCCATATTGGAAGCCCACAGGGTACCAGTTCTGAGGAAACTATAGGGGTCTAAGTAGGACAGTTTGGAAGTGGTGATTATTCTAGGTGAATTTTAATCAACCATTATATGTTTCTGAACATTCTGGATATCTAGTTTTTGAAACCTACCAACACTTGGTTGACCAAAATGAATTGCGATATCGGACTATTTCCCATCTTACATAGTTACTGGGAGAAAAACCTGTCTTGTCACACCTCACTCTGCATGGAGGTCATATTTGATATATTTGATATATTTCCTGCGTATTTTCTATCATTCTTTGTTGTCTTATGGCCATACCTCTGAAATTGGTTATATATTAGGTTTCTATTGTTGTCTCACTTTATTGTCGTGGGTACTGGAGTGATGATCTGTTATTTATGATCTTTAGGTCCTTCAAAATTTCAATGTTAATATTGACATTGTGTTCTTTAAATGTGGATGATGTAGTTAATAAAGAGGAAGAAGATGATACCACTCTTATCAAAGCATATCAAGGTTGTTTCATTAACTATGCCCTCAGGGCAGCTCTTCCTATGATGTAACATAACCTATTCTTTTCGAACTGATATCCCAAGTTCTCTAATTGTGCATAACAGAAGGTAATGTAAAAGAAATTAATTAATTGGGCCTCAGTATCCCCCAGTGAGAAGAATGGGAGGTATTGCAATTAATTAATCAATTAATTAGGCCAAGATACAACTGGGAGTTCATTAAATTGATTTTAAAAGACTTGGATGATTTTGTAATTGAGATTTTACAATTAAGATCCTTCTGGCCATAGTAAAAGTATATGTGTGTTTGTAAACAAACAACTGACTTAGCGAGTACTATTTGTTACTTTTTTGACATACAAGGAAATTTTTTATCTGTGATAAGAATTCTAGATACCTTGCTTTTTTTTTACTGTTTGTTTTGGCTAATGTTGCCATCTGCTTTGACCTTGTTAGTGATGGCATTGTGAGATGTAATGGGCATTTTTATGTGTGATCGAGTTAGAAGACTCTAGCAGCTAAGGATGAACTTAGGCACCAGGGATGAGTCTTGCTACATCTGTGGAATAGATAGAATCTTTGTTCTGCAAGTTAGGAAGATAAGAATGCCTAAGATTTCCTGTGGCGCCGTGGAAGGTGATCGCATATTGATGTGCTGCAGTGGTTTTTAGGGTTTTCCAGCTTTGTGTTAGAGCTGAATTTTGGACATTTTGCTGGGAAAGCAGCATATTTGTTTGTAAGGATCAGAATAGTGGTGACGCCCTGGGATCTGAGTGTGATCCCGCTCTCCTATCCCATATATCACTGACTTAGGTTGATCTGAAGTCAGTTGTTGACTGGCAGTGGACTCTCCTTCATATTTTATTCATAGATGCTAACCTTAGAGGGAGTCTTTAGCAAGGAACGTTTAATGAACAAGAATATGTTTATGGCATAGCAGTATTGGTGTTTGCAGATCACAGGAACTGGACACATTTTCAAAATATCATTATCACAACTGTATCAAAGTATTTTTCGTTCTTTTCATCTTTTGATTTTAA